GGCTCTCCCTACTAAAATTTGAACATCCCTGTGTTCACGTATTTCTTTTTGGCAGGCAACACAATGTGATCTCTGGCTGCTTGCTCTTCCATATGCTTTGAATTACAAGCCCTCTAAATCATTTGCTTAATCTAAATTATTATCAACAGGAGTGTCATCTTTGCTCTAAATAGCAACAGTGCATGAAGGTGTGGGGGCTTATAAATGTTAGTAGGGTCAGCACAGTAGAAGAACGGTGCATATTTTGGCTTGTAGCACAGGCCTTCTGCGTGTCCCCAGGTGTCTTACAGCGGACCATGGGAGAGCAGCAGTGCAGGATAGTCCTGTGGGGAGCTGTGGGGCTCTGCTCTCCACAGGCGTAAAAGAGAGCCCACATGGGAGCTGATTTTTAGGCTGCTTGTCTGTGACTGGCTGATCAGTCACCTCACCTGGTATGAACACAAGGCTGCATCGGCTTAGAGTCATTGACTCACAGACCGGTTTAGGTTGGAAAGGACTTCAATGATCATCCAGTTCCAACCCCCTGCCATGGGCAGGGACACCTCACACTAGACCATGTTGCCCAAAGTCCGTCCAGCCTGGCCTTGAACCCTGCCAGGGATGGAGCATTTACCACTTCCTTGTGCACCCTGTGCCAGCGCCTCAGCACCCTCACAGGGAAGAGCTTCTGCCTTAGCTCTAACCTGAACTTCCCCTGTTTCAGTTTGAACCCATCACCCCTTGTCCTATCACTACAGTCCCTGCTAAATAAATAAATAACCTTCTTATCTTTGATGCCTTCTGGAATTTGTTTTTACTCTCCCTGCCACAAAAGCTCAAGAAAATAATTCAGAAGAATAACCAATAATAACCAGTAATAACCAAGAATAACTAATAATAACCAAATAACCAGTGCACATACAGGTCGTAGCAATCAATCAAAAGCCTGGCCTCTTCCACTGACTGGTAAATTTTCTACAAGAATCTATTGAAAACACACACAGATTCAACAAGTACATCTTCACTGTTCCTCCACCATGCCTTGCTCCAGGACAGCGGTCCCCAATAGTTATGACACCACAGAAACTGGCAATAGGAAGACATGCCTTTGCTCCGAGCTGCTGTCCTCCCTCCACCTCATTCTTCTATCACAGAACTTATGGGAAACTTGGTGGTCACAGCTGGCAGAAGTACCAAGCAAAATGCCTCAGTGAAGCAGGGAGAGGCAGGGCAGAGCATGTTAGGAATAGTACTTACATTAAACTCCTTTATCTCATGTTGGAAGAACCTCTCTGGTTGATGAATGCTTGTGGTGGTATCACCAGCTTCACCGCAGATTTCTCTTAGATGTGATTTTAAGTTGTAACAACACGTTTCTGGAGCTGAATATGTAAGACCTCAGCATTCCACTTAAAAAGACATACTGAAGTTGGGGAGAAAGCTTTGCAAAACGACCAGAGAGAAAACAGTAGGCTCAGACAAGATACTGAAAAACAGAAGAACATAGTTTTACTTTGGTCTAAGCAAAGACCAAAGCTCTTGCACGGCTCCACTACAACCCTCAGGATGTCAGGCCAGAGGTGACTGCCTGGAATCAGCTCCCATTGCTGGGGTTAGTGTCACCCCTTCAACAAACCATCACAGAGACAGGCAGCTCCTGGAGGTGCTCCGAGCTGCAGCCCGGCCGGGACAACGCAGTGCCGGGGCTATAGACCAAGCGCTCAATGCAGCCCCTTGCAGAGCTGCTTCACACACCTCTCACCTCTCCAGATGAACTCAACATCCTGTTTAGCACCTCATTTTGCACACAGCCAATTGGTTTTTCACGGAGGAAATAAGCTCTCCCTGTTCAGCATGACACGCACATAAATACGTATACACATACACACACGTGTGTGCACGCACGCAGGCATCAGTCCCTTAAAGCCCTGTGGGTGTCTTCTTTCATGCTTCTACCTTGTGGCTTAAGGAAGCCAGGAAATGTAAAAAGCAGTCCAAATGCTAGAGGGAAAACCAGATAGAAATGCCTTTTCCACTGAAAAGGTGGAGCAGCTCCCAGGCTGACTGGCCCAGTCCTGCCAGCTCACTTTGTCCTTGCTTCCTCCTCCTCTTCTGTGGCTTCTTAGGGCTTTCCATGCCACAAGCGCCAGCCAGGCACTTGGCTGGATCAGACCCACTGCTGCCAAAGATGCTTTCCCCCACAAATTCAGACTTCTAGCAGTGCTTACTACAGCTATTAAATTCACTTATTGTAATATCACGCCTCTCATTAAGATTTCAATCAGTGTTTCCACTGGAAAGTCTTAGTCTCCAAGAGTTATAAACCTGCCTGTGTAAAGTTGATTACTGCTGAAATTTAGAATCCAGCTTCTTGGCTCACGGCTATGTTTCTTTCTTGCTTACTTGATCTGTGTTTGCAAAAGCTGATGTAAATTGGTTTGGCAAGTTTGTTTAATTCCAGTGATAAACAATTCCTGACTTAAGAGGCATGTTTTTTCCGGAGTGCGGAAAGTGATGGGATGAAATTATCCAAAGTTACCTGACTACTACATTAAAAAACTAAAATTACTCCGGCTATCTTCTTTTTTTTCCTCTTTAAATGTTGATATTTTTTACCTAGGAATGCAACTAAAGAATTTAACTCTTCCCATTGGCTTAAAACGTTGAGTATTTTTTGGAACGGTGCACAGTGCTTAATGGGAAGGCAATCACAGGAGGTTAAAGCCTTTCAAAATACATCCCAGCACCTCCGTGCCAACAACCCGTATCACTTCAATGAGCTGTGCAGTATGTGTTGGCATGATTTATGTAGCAATTTGAAAAGAACCTGTAGTGTTTGTTTATTACCACAGCATGATTGATGTGTTCCTAAGTGCACGGCGACACAATCAGCTGAGCTATGACGGCTGGGAGTTTGGAAGTTGGGAGTTACAGCCACTACAGCATGTCAGTCCAGTCAACTGCCAAAAGTCCTCTGGGTATTCGTGACCTCAGGGAAACCACAGTGAGATGAAACCCACTGCCAACAATGTCACTGTTGGACCATCTCTCCTGCACGGTCACACTGCTTCCCACCTTGGACTTGGCAGTGCTGGGGTAAAGGTTGGACTTGATGATCTTAAAGGTCTTTTCCAACCTGGTTGATTCTATGATTCTCTGCCCCTCCTTGGTAGAGAACATATACCATTCAAGCCAAGGAGCAATTCCTTGTTCTGTTCTCATCCTCGCCCCTTCCAAATGTTAAAAGATGGCTACCAGCATGACTTAAACCACAGAGCAGGAAAGGCTACTCAAGCATTGTCTTCCAACAGTCACTAGCTTTGCGACAGGCAACTGAGTAGACAAAGCCACCAGGTACCCCAGAAACACACCCTTCACTGGGAGCCCATGGAACAACCTCAGCTCCTTCCTGGAAAAAGTACCCCAGGCTTATACAATCACAGAATCCCAGACTGGTTTAGGTTGGAAGGGACCTTAAGAACATCCAGTTCCAACCCCTGCCACGGGCAGGGACACCTTCCACTAGAGCAGGTTGCTCCAAGCCCCTGTGTCCAACCTGGCCTTGAACACTGCCACGGATGGGGCAGCCACAGCTTCTCTGGGCACCCTGTGCCAGCGCCTCAGCACCCTCCCAGGGAAGAGCTTCTGCCTTAGATCTAACCTGAACGTCCCCTGGTTCAGTTTGAACCCATCACCCCTTGTCCTGCCGCTCCAGTCTCTGATGAGGAGTCCCTCTGCAGCACCATGTTTATGTATAGCACATTATGTCTAAGCCTTCACTGGTTTTAGGTATTTCTTTGCAACACAAAAAAAAAAAAAAAAATATATATATAAATCAAGTATGAAAGAAATTGTATTTATCTTTTATTTTTTTTTTACAAAAATAAACATTTTGAGAAACAAAAGCACTTTTTTTTTTCTCCCGACTGTACAAACTACAAAACAGTATGACATTGGTCACTTTAGCATTTATTGCTTTCACTGAAAGCAAATTCTCTAGACACACCATGCCTGTAAAACACATTTATATAGAATTAAGGCTAGCATTCATTTGACATTATTAAGGTCATTTACCTCCTTCACTCTAAGAATTAGCAAGCGGTGCCTTAGAAAACCAAGGATTTGATAATAAAAAAATATGAATAACTGCAAGGTAGTCATTAAGCCAGCACTGTTCCACCAGCTGGACTGCTTTGCCAGTCAGTCAAAGATGTGGCTTCCTGAACAATTCAAACTCGATTCAACAAAAGTCTTAAGCACAGGCTTAATTGTAAGCATATGCTTAGGCCTATCCCTATTCAGCAAAGCACTCGGCACTTGGGTAAGTCCCTACCTTTTCAGTGGGACTATTCATATGCTGATGTGATTTCCTAGACCCACAAAACGGCTCTTTTAAATTAGAAATGAAACTTTATGATAACATTGGAAGCAAAGATGAAAATTAGCTACAGTCTTGCAATTCTAAACAGAACCAATTCCTTCCTTTTGACAAACACCGGCACTGCGTATTTGATAGCTTTAACACAAATGCTGATTGTCTTCAGTAACGTTTGCTGTTCAGCTTACAAACTGATATGTTTCAGTTACTCCTCTGTGATTTTATGTGCCCAAATATCAGCATGGAGGACACAGACTTCCCCTAGAAATGAACAACTTTGGCCCCTGTACATACATTTACAGGTCAGAAACGTTATGCTACCCTTGGTCAGAAAAACCAGAGCTGCCAGCTGATTTATAACCCAAATGATTCCCTAACAGTGTATCATATTTTGTATTTTGCTTTGTTTAAAAAAAAAAAATAATAATTAAAAAAAAATCACATTTTCAAAACGTTGTTCTATTGCACATTCATCCTGGTCATGCAGGTTATTTCTTTAAAGTTCTCTTTAGCACTCTATAGATTAGAATGAGTAATAGTGCAATTATTTCTCTGGCCACAGCCACCTTCTACCTAACAGCTGCGTATATTTATACACAAACAGCTCTTATCACTCACACGTCAGACCGAGCCACTTTAGGTGTCAGTCTGTCACCTTCACATATGTTATCTTGTCAGGATCAGGCATGATATGATTTGAGGCCATCTTGAAGAAGACAAGCTGCCGACCTGCACCAAATAGGAAAGGGGGAGAAGGGAAAAGAAGTAATTTAGAAGTGATGAGCAAAACGTTGCCTACCTTAAAATACTGTAATTTCACATTCTTCTTCAACCTATGCAGTCTTTAGGCAACCCAAGACTTAACTGTCTCTCAACTTCAACTGGTATAAATCTGAAATACTTTCATTCAAAACGACACCAAATCTCCCCTGGTTTCACTATGTTTACTCTTACCTGATTATGGTCAAGATGAAGCTGTGCACAGCTAACAGTGAATGAAGATTTTAATCCAAATGTCACACAATCTTTAAAACATTATTTAAAGACTGATAAAACCAGGCTTGAGTTCAGGGCTTTCAGAAGGATTTCATTAGATTGTACAGGAGCAGAATCATCTTGACTTGAATCTTTGCAAAACTGGTCAGAGCCATGCATGCTAAACACAACTGTCTCCGAAGTACTGATCGCTTTGTAAGTCTGGGTTTTAAACAGGCTAGAACAAGGTTTCTACTCCTGGGACACAAAAACCAGCAAGCGTTAACAGCCTGGATGGTGTAAGGCACCTGCCATATGTACACCAGAGGCGAGTGGGGACTGATCATGGCGAGGTTGCACCCACCAGTATGTGTAGGAACCACAGCACAGTTCCTGTATCTTGTATAAGAGATACTTTCCACATTGGTTCAACCTCTGCCTTCCCTCTCTCTAACTGCAGGAAAACCAAATGCTATTTACTCCCAGGCTGCCTCTTCAGAGGGCTCCCCTAACACTGTTTTCTTCAAAAGCATCACATGGGATGCCTCAACTGAGCAAATGCCCATGCTGCGTTTCACAGACTCAAGTGCTCATGCATCAGGAACAACATGGTAAAAGGAATGGTAAATAAGACCAAGACTGCCATGTCTCGTTTGCTCTTGATGTTGTAACCTCAGATAGGAGCTGCTCTAAACTTCCTATGGGTTTCCCTGTGTCATAGTAATTTTCTTTTGGTATATTAATTAACTTCAGTAGTCTGACTATAGATAGTCTGACGTGATGATCTAGTAGCCACCAGTTAGCCACAGGTTAAAGTACAATAGTTTTTCATAGGTTCCATGTAAGTCTCTGGTCACACCTCCCAGAATCACAAACCAAGGCAGAAAGCCATAGCAGTACACTGTCTAAACCACTCTGAAATCTATGAACTGTCTGAAGTTTCTACTCATTTATGGTGCTTTCAGAGCTGGGGACATGCCAGGCACATATATAAGCCTGGCTGTGGTGTGTATTTATGCTGCTTAGCTAAGCACAACTAAAGCACCCAACTGCACACAGGGTAGATTTTGACTTTAAGGTTAAGACATGTTGTGATTGCGGGTGTACAGACAGAAAGCTGAGCCTAAATAACTTGCCACACTACAGTCTGTGGCGGAGCAAGGACTTCAATCATCTTTCCCAAGGCATCAGCCACCCTTCCTCCCAAAGCCAGGAGCAGGAGAGCTGACCTGACCCTAGCAGAAAACAGCAGATGCAGGCAGGGAAACAGCCCTGTGGTGTGGGGGCAACACTTCTCTTTTCAGCAAGTGTATTAGACAAGAAAACGAGCTCTGGTAGCAAATGGCATTTTCCTCTAAAAGTTCTATTTCGACCTGGTTTAAAACCCTCCCTTCCCACTGTCCTTTAGCCAAAGCCCTACTGCTAGAAGCACGGGGTTCCCACCAGAGGCAGGGAATCTCTGACACCAGCCAGGAAGTCCCAGCTAGATGCACAGGAGAATTTGTTTGTTTTTTTGTCAGACTGCACCAACCATATGAATTGGAAAGGTTAATTGAAATCCAGATGTTGGCCCATGTCCTGCACATCTAACTGTGGAAACAAGCCACAGGCATTTGGTGCTGTTTCTGCTGCTGTGTTTTACAATAAGAATTCAGACCCCACGGTTTGGAGACCTGCAGCCCCTGTGTTGTAGCCCTCTGGTGCCAATGCCTCTGAGTCTGTCCACAGGTTCCTCCTCCCATGAGAGCTGGCAAAGAGAATCCTCATCAAAACCAGAACTGCCTCATCTGGAGCATCAGAAACTATCCCACTTCTAGCTGGTGGCCCCCACAGCCCAGCCCAGAACTCTCCCCAAACTGTATTAAAACACTTAAAGCATCCAGACTACATGACTCGGCTGCTGTTTCTGCTCCACAGTATCCATGACCTACCTGTCCACGTTGTCTGGTTGGTAAGGACAAAAGCTTTGCACTGGGAGTAGCTATCACAGATCTCAATGGCTTCGTTGACATCAAACACAGAGAGGAGGCAGCCCTTATGGTGGTAGGATGGCCAGCATCTGTAGTTCTCATCAGGAATAAAAGCTTCAGGCACCCGTCTGTACTCTGCAAATAACCAGAGCAAAGCAATCATTTTGAAAGATCCACCAAACTGCTTGTTTTTAACAGGCAAAGCTTATTATAACAGCTTAGGAGCAGGATATATGATGGAAAAGGTGACGGGCTAGACTTCCAGCCCTGGTTTACTCCCAAACGTGTTTATAGCTCTGCACCTTACTTTCCTTTTCCTTTCCTCCTTTCTTCTTCTCACCTCTTCCTCCAGAAAGTGTCTGCAAATAAACAGCCTGTGCACAAAACCCTTTCCCCTTCCCCACTGCGTAGGCAAGGCTTTGGTTTTATTAGGAGTTTTACAGGAAGAATGTCCCATTGAATAAACAGCATCCACTTGAATGAACTGACTCACTGTCCTACTTCTTCACAGTGAGCAGGATTGTCGGGGTGAGACCCAACCAGGCGTTCCCAGCCCTCCCTCTCCTTCAGAAGAGCATGCTATTTTCCTCGGGCTCCTTTAGAGAAGGAAGAAAAGACAGGCTTTTAATTAAGCAAACTTTTTTTGCTTGCTCAGATTAGCACAAAGGGAAGTCGCTTGATGGGCCTCCGAAGAGAAGGGGGAGAAAACAAGCAGTGGGAGCATGTCAGCATGGTCCTTGCCCCTCGCCTCTGTGCTGCCCTGCCCGTTACTCCTCTCCCTTGGCTGCCGTTCAGTCTCGCTTGCCTTTATGAGCTGCCTCTTGTTCTCTGTTCACAGCTCCTCTCACTTTCCCAGCCGCTGATGGGGGTTTCTCTAATGAATGCATCAGCAAATCCAACTCATCAGTTATAAACATTTCTATTTATCACCCAGACGCACAAATTGACGGTTCCCTCTTGTCTCTCCCCCTTCCTCCCCCCATCCTATTCAAAAAACTTAATAGATTCTTTATTTTTATTAATTGTATCTATTATGGAAACCAGAGCTGCCTGTCCTGACTCACAGCCTGTTCTTAAGTCACTTTAGTTGAGGCATTTTCTGCCTGACATTACAGATTCTGGTTGCTAGCATTTCATACAGCACATTGTACGAACACCGTCGAGTCAAAGACGAGTGAGTGTGTCTACGACTCTAATCTGCCAGTATTTCAACTGGGAAAAGAAGTACATATCCAGAAGTGCTCATTCACACCACACAGTCTGAAACAGTGGGAAACAAATGCAGTAAATACATTCTATTTTAAGCCTGGCTCATTAAAAGTATCATAAGAAACATTCCAAAGCAGCAAAATCAGAGCTGCTCATGTCTCACTTAAATCAAAGGCAAAAGAGTTTTCATTAATCCAGAAATGGCAGATTTATGCACATGAAGAAAATAATAATGTAGTTCCCCATTACTAATGGTCATTTCTCCATCAAAAAATTTACAAGCATCTCTTCCCAAGGCAGGGCTGGAGTCATTGTCCCTGGAAGTGTTCACACACCGTGTAGCAGAGGCCCCCAGTGCCAGGGGTTAGTGGTGGCCTTGGCAGTGCTGGGGAATGGTTGGACTGGATGAGCTTAAAGGGCTTTTCCAACCTGGCTGATTCTATGGTTCTTCTGAAGAAAAGTCAGAGCATAAATCAAACTGTTACTGGCTGGATAGCTAAAGTTCCCTTTTTCCAATTTCCATGTCATCTGTACAGTGTAACAGTAATTGAATGGAACTGAATAATAGTCTATTATCTCTCTATGGTAACTGCTGAGTATTGATTTGTACCTCAAGCCAATGTCAATAAAACGATGAGCACAAGTTACTCATATTGATATATTAATAGTGGCACCATACGCCACTGTTTGTATCAGGGTACATGCCACATTGATTGCATGTGAAATATGACTATCCACAACTTTCCTTTTCACAGCTGCAGACTTTCCTGTGCCAAACCCCACGCCACAGAGGACATTCACAGACGGGTGGCCCTTGTGCACCACCAGAGGATGAAGCATCTGCCTGATTCTCTGCGTGAGTAGGGAGCATATCCTGGTCCTTTCCAAGAGCACTCTTAGAGCATGCCAGGCTCTGCACCAGGGCTGGGAGGGAGCTGCAGCATCCCTCAGCACACCATCAGAGCAGCGTCATGTCATGTCATGTCTTTTTCTCCATGCAAGGCAGAAGCCCACCTAGAAGACCCTTATTCTGAATAATTATTCAACGTTTAAAATCTTCTGCTCACAGATATGCCTCTCAATACACCTTAGTATTTGCTTGCTTCTCAGCACTGCTCCTGGTGCAACTATCAGAGGTTAGGTTCTCGCTGACGTACACAGATTTAAAATGAGCAGCAGTGATTTACATGACGCCAGGCTCTGTCAGACGTAGGAGTTAAAGTTCTCCCTCTCCACTGACTTTTTCAAGGTAACCGAGCCTGGTAAATCATTTGGGTGGCTTGGGACACATTAATCAACAGAGTTGGACCAGGAATAAGCGCAATGGTGACTGCAAGCACCTGGCTTGTTGGTGCAACAGAGGATGGAAACCTCCATGCTGATCCTTAGGGTGGTCTCACACACAGCAGAGCCCTGTGGTTGTCCCTGCCCACTCCCTGCCAGGATCCACACGTGGGAAACCATCACCATCTGCAATGACTCCTGTGACAGGCACACAGCAGCACAACCCACATGCAAAGAGCATTTTCCTTGGCTGGGAGATCAGCAAGTGCCACACAGGTGAAAATAAAGCCCCTGGAGTCTAAATGAAAGCAGAGATTCACACAGGCTCCACAAAAGCAGCTTCTGGCAGCAATCCTAAACCGGCAAAGACACAGAATGCCTGCAGTTTGGGGATCTATGCTGCCTGCAGGGAGGAGAGTGGGATGCAGGGAGGAGGAAAGGCAGGAAGGCAGCCCCTCTCCCTACTTGGGGAGCTGCCTGAGAATGCATTCCCCCAGGAGCATCCCAATGGGAAAGTGGCTACAAGGAGCAAAGAATGGGACAAACAATGGCCCCACACCCTATCTCATGCTCCCAAACCTGCCGGGCGCTCCTGCTGCCCTGGGAAGCCAATACAGGATCTCCTCTTAAACTATTAGGAGTGCCACGAGGATGATGA